AGATTGAGTTCGAATTATATAATAAAAGTGTCTTTATTTCTGCTCTACGTGATTTGTAAGCAGAGATATATAAATGCAAAGTCGAAATATGAAAAATTTCTATTAAGAAACGTCCCCGTCATCATTATCATCATCATATCATCATCATTATCATCATCATTATCATCATCGACCACGCATACATAGTAGTATCGTGCTACACGTATTCACACGTATACAACACATGCGCACACATATATCACACGTACACAACACATGCAAGATGCATGTAGTGGTAATTTTGTCCATCTCGCACGTTTTACAACAGATGGCGATAGTGGCGCTCCGCCATATCGGCAGGTGCGGGGGGTTAGGTGGGGAACTCTCTCGAGGGCTAGAGCGAGAGAGAGCGAGAGAGAGAGGGGAGCGAGAGAGAGAGAGCCTCGCGAGCGAGAGAGAGAGAGAGCGAGAGAGCGAGAGAGAGAGAGTAGAGAGCGAAGAGAGTCTGAGCGGAGAGAGAGAGAGAGAGTCGATAGTAGAGAGAGAGAGAGCGAGAGAGAGAGCGAGAGCGAGAGAGAGAGAGTAGCGAGAGATGAGAGAGAGCGATAGAGAGAGAGAGAGCGCGAGAGAGAGAGCTATCACGCTATCGCGAGAGAGCGAGGCGCAGAGCGGAGAGCGATCGCGCGAGAGAGCTCGAGCGAGAGCGAATCGCGCATATCTCGGATCTCTCGCGCTAGCGAGCTCTCTCTCTCTCTCTCTCTCTCTCTCTCTCTCTCCTCTCTCTCTCTCTCTCTCTCTCTCTCTCTCTCTCTCTCTCTCTTCTCACACACACACGCACACACACACACACACTCTCTCATTCTCACTCACTCACTCACTGTTCGTCTTGTGTACTTATTTAGTACATTCATGATCGGCAGCGTGCGGGGTTATGTTGGCTAACTCTCTCTCTCTCTCTTTCTCACACACACACACACACACTCTCTCATTCTCACTCACTCACTCACTGTTCGTCTTGTGTACTTATTTAGTACATTCATGATTAAACATCTATATGCATTAATGTGAAATTTACTTACAATTAGTTTACTTGAAATATTCAATCTCTAAAGTGTTTATCTTATAAGATAGACAAAAAAATCTGAGTAAATAATAAGAAAAAAAAACAAGGATTATTATTGTCATAATTTTTTATCAATTAAGTACTCTCAACTATCCAATAATTAAATAAATACGTACAAATGTGCGCGCGTGTACACACATACACATATTGATATTAAAGAGATTGAAGGAGAGGAAGGAGAAGATAAAAATTTAAATATTCACATATATTTTCAAATATTATATATGAATTTATAGTTTACATATCTAATTAATAATGAATTTCTAATTATATTAAACATATCAAAATAAAGACATACATGTATTTATCAAATGAATAAAATTATTGAATACAGACTTAAAAAATTTATTAAACATAGACTTAAAAAATTAATTAATTAAACATATTCCAAATTTAGAAAAAATAAACTTTATTTATATATGCAACAGCTTTTTAAACTAAATTTTTAAATTCTATTTTATATTAGACAATTATCTCAATCAACATCTACGTCCACATTAGCTGCACTGCAGACTACCTCTACAGCCACATTATCTGCTCCGCGGATATAGCGTTATGCCAATACGATACATTACATGTACTTACTTACTTGCCTTTACTGTACCAACTCTTGTTCTTTCCACGTAATCATGTTTTTACAGTTATCGTTTGCTGTATATCTTCCAGCAAACTTTATTTCGTGTGAAGTGTATTTAATTAATTAAATCTCTGCGAAAGATTGAGAAGATGAAGGGATAATTCAAACTATGAAGACATGGTTACATGGAAAAGACAAGAGTTGATACAATAATAAAGACATACATGTATTTGTATCCTGCTGGCATAAGGTTATAGAAGTTGATTGAGATTGAAAAATAATAATGAAAATAATAAAAAAATAAAGACACATGTATTTGTATCGTGCTGGCATAAAGTTATAAAAGTTGATTGAGATTGAAAAATAATAATAAAAATAATTAAAAAAGGAAATATTCAATCATCATTTAAAAGCATATTTGAAATCTGTAGAATAAACAGTTTTTGCAAAAAATGTGGAGCATTTGAGCTCTAGTAAGTCTAAAAATAAATGTAAACATCAATTAATAATAACTGATGTTATATATATATTATATATATAAACCAATTTGTTGCAATATTCACTATAAAAGGTTGTAAGGGTAAGATGGCTAAAAGTGAATAATTTAAAAGATAGTTAACATAATTTTACATAAACTGAAATATTTCATAAAATAAAATATTTGTAATATTTCGAAGTTTATGTAAGATTATGTAAAAATTATACCTTTACAACTTTTTATAGTAAATATTGCGAGGAATCGATTTATATGAGAAAAATTAAGGTAATTCTATTTTGAAAATATAAGTGACCTTTAAATAACCTTGAAAATCGCCGTTTAGGAAAAAGTCTGTGTCAACTTTTTCTTTTTCGAAATCCTGCAACTTTTATCTAAATTTAATAGAAAATGTATAAAAAATGCTCGACATTAGTACACACACACACACACACACACACACACACACACACACATATGGGTAAATTTATATAAATAGGGTGCTTTAGGAGGAATGATCAGGATTCTAGGATATGATTGTACACATCATTTTAAGCAAAGAAGTTTAGATAAACATGTTTAATAATTGTTCTATTCCGGTCATAAAAATATACAAAAATGAATGATATAATCTCTAAAAACTCACCTTTAAAAAAAGGTAAAAAAAGGCGACCAGTTAAGGGCACGCCATTAACAAAAATTATCCATTGCAAACCCATGTAGAATCCTATCCTATTGCAAACCCATGTAGAATCCTATGAAAAATTAATCATTGCAAACCCATGTAGAATCCTAGGCAAAATTAACCATTGCAAACCCATGTAGAATCGTACCCATTGCAAACCTATGTAGAATCCTATGAAAAATTAACCATTGCAAACTCATGTAGAATCCTATGAAAAATTAACCATTGCAAACCCATGTAGAATTGTATTAAAAATTATCCATTGCAAACTTATGTAGAATCCTACATTGCAAACCCATGTACAATAGAATTGTATGAAAAATTATCGATTATAAACCCATGTACAATCGTAACAAAAGTAATGAAATAAAAAAAAAATTGCGCCAAGTGAAAGTAGAAACTTGTACCAGTGGAAAATTAAAGTTGCAGACATATATAGAGTCGTATAATGAATCAGTAAAAATTTAAATTTGCAAATGTAGAATCGTACCATAAAAAAACTTATCTTTTAAAAAAAAAGATAAACAAGATGCCAAGTCCATGCGCCATGTGAAAAAGAAATAAAAAAATTTTAGTTAAAAAAACTGGGAGCGCTGCTAAATAATATTCTAACAATATTAAAATTAAATTGTTACTTTTAAACTCATTACAGTTAAAATATGTTTTGTGTTTAAATTAATTAATGTTACTTTAAGGTGCATTGTAATTTTGAAACTTAGCAGCGCGCCCAGTTTTTTTAACTAAAATTTTTTTATTTCTTTTTCACATGGCGCATGGACTTGGCATCTTGTTTATCTTTTTTTTAAAAGATAAGTTTTTTTATGGTACGATTCTACATTTGCAAATTTAAATTTTTACTGATTCATTATACGACTCTATATATGTCTGCAACTTTAATTTTCCACTGGTACAAGTTTCTACTTTCACTTGGCGCAATTTTTTTTTATTTCATTACTTTTGTTACGATTGTACATGGGTTTATAATCGATAATTTTTCATACAATTCTATTGTACATGGGTTTGCAATGTAGGATTCTACATAAGTTTGCAATGGATAATTTTTAATACAATTCTACATGGGTTTGCAATGGTTAATTTTTCATAGGATTCTACATGAGTTTGCAATGGTTAATTTTTCATAGGATTCTACATAGGTTTGCAATGGGTACGATTCTACATGGGTTTGCAATGATTAATTTTTCATAGGATTCTACATGGGTTTGCAATAGGATAGGATTCTACATGGGTTTGCAATGGATAATTTTTGTTAATGGCGTGCCCTTAACTGGTCGCCTTTTTTTACCTTTTTTTAAGGTGAGTTTTTAGAGATAAGGATTACACTAGCGTCACGTTTGTTACTGTTACAATTAAAATACTGTCACATCATAAATATATGTAAGTTTTTATTAGCATACTTTTTTGATACCATTTGTTAGATTATTGTTTCATAACGCACTTGATTGTGAATCTTATAATTAGTGAGGTGGAATGAGAAAATTATTTTAATTGATAGGATGCGATTAATGTTTAATATTTTAACACCTGCCAACCTCGTAGTCAGAAAACTAAAGAGGAGCGCTTCCCACAGTTACGTTAATGTGATGGATTAGTGAGAACCACCTTAGTGTTAATCTTACGATGTTTTATTTCATTTATTGATGTAACCGCGTTTAAATATGTTTATTAGACTTTTATACGTTAAACATGAACTTAGGCTTTTGTGATTTTAATTTATTTTGCTTTGTGTACTGCGCTGAAGAAGATCCGAAAAATTGGATCGAAACGTTCGCTTTTTCATTTGTTTTAACTTTTGAGTTTATTTTTATAATTTTATATTAATTTAAACTTTATTGTTTCTATCAGTATATATTGATTAAATGTAATAAATTAGTTTTTTTTTTATAACCGTAATATATATATTACTTCTGCTCTTATTAGCCTTTTATATGTGTAATAAATACCGCAACTTTTCCTTTTCGAACAAAGTGGTAACGCATTTCTATGTGTATGCTCTTTTTTGTAAAATTCCAAGTTTTTTATCAGTCCAGTAGCACACTTAAGTTATTTACATAGAATATAAATTATAGATAATTGCTTTTTTTTCTGCATTCTTTCTCGTCATGTGCAAAGTCATCAAATAAGTTACTGCTTTACGGTTTTGCTTGCAGCTATATATTTCGTTTCAATCGTTGACAGGGACAAACACTTTTCTATCTTTGACTTATTGTTAGCCAGCGAATAACATAATACTCTAGTACAAGGTCTATGTCTTGATATCTCTTGCAAAATCAGCATGTAAGCCTCTTTTCCTTTTAAATTTTCCTTTTATATTTGATTTATAAACCAGTGCTTTTTTTAGTGCCTTATAAATAGCGAAATATTCATTTTACATTCTGCCAATTTTGCTCAGTTTTGAATGTTCCACATTTTGAGCTACTATAACTAAATTAGAAATTATTGGAAGATGAAACGTTTGAATATATTAGTCAGTAGTAGATAAATAGGTAATAAAAGATAATTTTAACTAATTGTAAATAAATTAGTAGCGCATCGAAAAAAATCGAAAATGATTGAACTTTCTTTCGTAGGCAGAAGAAATAATCAAACACAGTATGTGTGTGTGAGATATGTGCGCTAAAAATAAAAATCTAATTATCGATTTTGATGACCGAAAGTCATACATGCAATTGAGTCACAAACGATTTAGAATTGAGAAGAAGAATGAAAACCCCAAAAAACTCTTCAGTGCAGAAACTTGGGCATTGTTTCTTCTTTTTACTGTTACGCGCATTTATTTTGTTCATCGTGTTTCTTTCATTGTTCTGTTGTATTGATTAATTAAATAAACTTTGTGTTAAGAACAGAAAGAGTGCCAAGTCATTTTGTCGCCACATGGTTCCGTCTTTTTCATTAGAAACATCAGGCTTTTAACCATCTCTTGGTATAGAATCTTGCTGTTTAACGATTTTTCTTGATAATTAATTCCTATTTTAATAAATATTCCTATATAACAGTATTACAATTTTCCATATTAAACTTAGTAAAAATTTTCTTAATGTATATAAACTGTTTAAGACAACAAAACCGTTCTTCTTTAAAAAAGATTTCCAGATAGCAGTCAAAATTTTTCTTTAGTTAAAAGTCTAAATAATTGAACAATCGATAGTCCCATATATCGGTTTTCAAATAGGTTCATCAAATTCATTATCATCATTTTCATATTATTCATTTTCCGTAATCTTTTTATCAATTGGAAGATCTATGAGACCGAAGATCTGCTTATTTTCTAGGAAATTATACATTTCATCATTCGTTGCACGATTCTATTGTGCAGATTTCAATACTTCTTAGATATTTCGAACTTTTCCAACAACACAAACATAATCGTTTAGATATTTTAATTTTATCTTTACTTTTTCCGTCAATTTTGAATCTTCTGAATCTACTTACATCCAAAAGATACATTTTCTACATCTACGAAGTCATCCTCGTTCACATTCTCAAATTCCTCAGTACGATGTCCCATTTCATCATCTATTCGAAAGCAATCGATTTAAAGGAAATAGAAATTTTGTCTGTTTAATGTCTACTTATCAGTAGAATATTTCGTCGATTGAATATATACTTAGTTTATTAATTTTATTTATTACATTTCTGCATAATATTTATGAATAATGCATGAATTTTGATTCTATTAATATTATAACGACAAAAATTTTACTTAAAATTATTAATATCTTGTTATCTTGATTCTATTATCAAGAGACACGGTAGTGTCTCGCGACCAGTTAAGGGCGTAGCCGAGACACCGTGTATCTTAACGCGAGTCGGACATTTGAGTCTTTATAATATTTCGAATTCTCAATAACGGCTGAAGCAATCGAGTTTATACTAGACTTAATCGATAGATTGAGTTTGAATTATATAATAAAAGTGTCTTTATTTCTGCTCTACGTGATTTGTAAGCAGAGATATATAATTGCAAAGTCAAAATATGAAAAATTTCTTTTAAGAAACGTCCCCGTCATCATCATTATTATTATCATCATCGACCACGCAAACATAGTAGTATCGTGCTACACGTATTCACACGTATACAACACATGCGCACACATATATCACACGTACACAACACATGAATAGATGCATGTATTGGAAATGTCCATCTCGCACGTTTTACAACAGACGGCGATAGTTGCCCTCCGCTATATTGACAGCGTGCGGGGTTAGATATTTTCAATTTTCAATTTCAATTTTTACATTCAATTTTAATGTTATTATTTGCAAATTTATTGTCATAATAATTTATGTGCAAGTTTACAGTCTGTGATACAAAATCAGATATTTTGCTATTATTTCAATAATATTTCAATTATATAAATGCCTATGTATGAGTATGCATATATTTTTAATAATTTTCTTAATTAGCTTCTATATTTTTTCAGTTGTACATCAAGCAGGTAGCATTATCAGCTCACTTGTGAGCATGGGTTGGGCAATGGCTAGTTATCATCGCAGCATTCGATTAGCTTAACAAGATAAATCTAATATCAGTGCTATAGGAACCATTTTACAATTTTTCTGGCATTTTCTTATTGCAGGTACATATATATCCAATAATTAATATACAAAATTAAATATTATTCATCACACACTTTGTATCAAAATAATATATTTTTTAAAATTTATTTAATCATTTTTATCATTGTGATTGTAGTGGCAAGGATCTTATTGCTCAGTGTCATTGCAAGCATCTGGCCTGTATATACCATAATATATTGCGTAATACATTGGCTAAGTATGACAATATGGATTTTGATAGATTCCCATGGAATATTGGAATTTTGTCGGACTTACAGTCATCCACCACATATGCAGCCTACAATTAAAGAACGCATTTATTCCATATGATTTGCTTCCGTTATTGGAATATTTAAAATAAAAATTTTATTAATAAATTTCGATGAAATAATTTATAAGAGGTTGAAGAAACTATGAAACAAATTCAGTCTCATAAAAGGGTAGTTGGAACAATAGTGGTGAATGCAGAAGGTATTACATGAGATCATTGACATGATTTACTTGTAGTTGTAAACAAAAATTTATAAAATTATATCTGTTTTAGGTATTCCTATAAAGTCAACATTAGATAATACGACAACAGTTCAATACGCAGGTTTGATAAGTCAATTGTCAGATAAAGCTCGTTCTGTCGTACGTGACTTGAATCCAACAAATGATTTAACTTTCTTGCGCATACGTAGCAAAAAACATAAAATTATGATGGCACCAGATAAAGAATTCATATTAATAGTACAAAATCCAGTTGATTGATATTTAAAAGAAACAAAAATATATTTCAAAGTTAAGATTTATTTCTTTGGTTGTTAATTTAATCTGTATGCTACATTGTGGATGTTAATATCTATTCAATTAAATAAAGAAAAATAAAAGAATAAAGCTTAAAAATTATACAAAATGCAGTATTTAATTACTAATCTAACAAATTATGAACTTTTAGAGTTTTTAAATAGTGCTTTCTTCTTTGGTAACAATATTATATTTTTAAGTTTGATAATTATGAAAATATGTATATATAGTAATTCATGGCATGTTTATTTTTGTATTTAATACAATTATAAATGTACATTTCTCATCAATAAAATATCACAGTATCTTTTTTATAATTTAATTTTAATATTGAGATTGTTTTTATTCAGTGGAAAAAAAAATGTGTAGTTGGTCCCTATTAATTATACATACATATAAGAGTGTCGCACAAATAATTCTATGCAGTCTTTTTAAGATAATATAAAAATACTTATAAATATAATCAATTAAAATACATATAATCAAAATTGTATGTATTAAAATTCAATAGCATATAAAAAAGATTTTTTGAAATTATATATATATAATAAAAATCCAACATTTTATATATATATATATATATATATAAAATATATATTTATTTATTGTATATCATAAATATATATTTATTTATTTATATTTACCTATCTTTTTTTTATATATATGGTAGAAATACAATGTGAGTTATTTTATTTTGCAAAATTTTTGAAAGTTAAACTATACAATGAAATTATTTCATATAATACCGAGATTCTTTTCATAATAAAGATTAAGAGAGAGTTAGATTTTATCATAAGATTTATAAAAGTCATAAGATAAGGTTAATTGCATATTGTATAATTTATCTCTCATTTTTTAAAGTAAATAAATATCAAAGTTACATTGCTTGAACTGGTGCGTTTGAAGTATGTTGTCTTTTTGAGGGATGCAAGACAATATAGTACAAAAGCATTGCTGTAATTCCCAAGAAAAAAAAAATGATACAAATAATAAAGATTATATTAAAGTACTAAGCCTCTTTAACTGCAGGAGGACAAGCATATTGCCATAATAAATTTGCTGCAATATTTTCAAAAAAACAGATAACATAGAAAGATAGATGTTTTCAAAATGTTTTGCTATCTACAGCATTGAGATATATAAAAATGTGCACTATGCCAATAACGGAAGCAAATAATATGGAATAAATGCGTTCTTTAATTGTAGGCTGCATATGTGGTGGATGACTGCAAGTCCGACAAAATTCCAATATTCCATGGGAATCTATCAAAATCCATATTGTCATACTTAGCCAATGTATTACACAATATATTATGGTATATACAGGCCAGATGCTTGCAATGACACTGAGCAATAAAATCCTTGCCACTACAATCACAATGATAAAAATGATTAAATAAATTTAAAATAAATTTTTAAAAATATATTATTTTGATACAAATTGTGTGATGAATAATATTTAATTTTGTATATTAATTATTGGATATATATGTACCTAAAATAAGAAAATGCCAGAAAAATTGAATTTGCTTATTTATTTAAAGATGCTTATCATATACAAAAATGAATGATATAATCTCTAAAAACTCACCTTTAAAAAAAGGTAAAAAAGGCGACCAGTTAAGGGCACACCATTAACAAAAATTATCCATTGCAAACCCATGTACAATAGAATTGTATGAAAAATTATCGATTATAAACCAATGTACAATCGTAACAAAAGTAATGAAATAAAAAAAAAATTGCGCCAAGTGAAAGTAGAAACTTGTACCAGTGGAAAATTAAAGTTGCAGACATATATAGAGTCGTATAATGAATCAATAAAAATTTAAATTTGCAAATGTAGAATTGTACCATAAAAAAACTTATCTTTTAAAAAAAAGATAAACAAGATGCCAAGTCCATGCTCCATGTGAAAAAGTGTTAAACAAAAAAGTATTTTTAAGTAAAAAAATCTATCAATTGACAAAAATTTATGTTCTAAAATTAATATCTCTACAAAAAGTAATGTTCAATTATTGCGCGAATAAATAAACATTTTTATAAAAAATTAAAATTTAAAAACTTATGCAAATTTAAAATTAATATAAAATAAAAAGAAATAAAAAAATTTTAGTTAAAAAAACTGGGCGCGCTGCTAAATAATATTCTAATGATATTAAAATTAAATTGTTTATTATAACAACAAAAATTTTACTTAAAATTATTAATATCTTTTGTTATCTTTAAAAATATTATAGAATTTTGAAACTACTATTTTAGAATTTGTGCTTAAATGTTTCGAGGAAACTTCTGCTGGGAAAAAAAATTTATTGCACATATAAATTAAATTTTAATAATATATATTTGATTAATTATTTTTTAGCATTGTATGCAATAAATTTTAAAAAATACGTATCCTAATAATTACTTAATTATATATTTTTGTGTATCGATGATTACTGTCTAAAGCAAACGAGCTAATAATTTCTATGTATCATACTCGTTTTGTATGTATAGTTTCTTGTACAAGTTTGAAAATCACGATACAAAGATGTTATTTCGTATAGATGTATACTACAAATTGAGATATACATAATAAAATAAAAATGCGCAAATAAAATAAAAATGCGCGAGACGTTTCTAAATTAACTTGTGTCTCTTCAGTCGCTTTTTTTTAAATTCTAATATAGTGTTCTTTTCTATTCGAAATTCTTTCTTCCTTCGTTGTCCATGAGTTAAAATGTTTTTGATGTGATCGTATATATTTAAAACTTATTTATTAAAGTTCTTTATTTTGATGTAGACGATAAAACGGAACTGGTAATTATGTTCTTAATTTTCACATTGTTTGAAGAAAAAATTGCTCGTATATATATGTATATATATATATATATATATATATATATATATTTATTTATATATAAATTTATATATAATATTATAAATAAACAATTTTTCTCTTTTTTTTAAATCACTTTTAAAAACATATAAAATAGGAAAGAAATTTATCTATTTTTTAAATTTGTTTTTCATTATTTTTCCTGTACATACGGACAAATATTACACAAAAAATATATATAGGCATATTTTATACATAATTATTTATATTTAATTATTATATATGGGCTTTTTTCTCAAGATTTTACATCGTATTTTGTCAAATTTGTCAAAAGATTGTTTTTTTAATATAATCATGTTTAAAAAAATATTATTTAAAAATTATATCAGTTTATATTATATAAGTTAAGATACAATATTAAATGCAATAAAATTATATATTTGGAAATTTTTTTCATGTTATCTCTTGCAAAAAAAGAACATTACATTAATTGTTGTTGTAATATGTGATGTTTAAGTACATATACTTTAAATAATATTTACTACAATTATATCAGATAAATATTTAATGTATTTATCGCCAATAATCTTCGTCTTGACATATATATTGATTAAAAAATTTTAAGTGTCGCTTACTATTAAAAAAGGAATAAAGAACTCTTTCTCTCTCTCTCTCTCTCTCTATATATATATATATATATATATATATATATAGCGACAACTAAAAACTTGGACATTATTAACTTAGAATTATGATCTTAACAACATATGTATGTCAAAATCAACAAATGTAAATATTTATTATTTAGATTCTAGATATTTTTTAATGATATTTTTTTTCTTTTGTTATGTTCTCTCATCTTTGTATAGTTTAAAAAATTTCGGAAACATAAAATCGTAGTAAACATAACTTGTGGTTTTGTGACATATTCCGAACGAATTTACACCGTATTTGTATCTGTTTGATCTTTACTCGACCGTAACCGATTTTGCCAAGTTTCTTGGACAGTCTACGTTACAACCACGCAAAACCGCAATATGGAATGATAATAATTGCATAGGAATAACAGTGAGAATTCCTTGTAAGCAATCGACTGTTTTGGGTATTTCAAGTGCCCTATCAGCAAAAGATTTCGTTTCTTCATCTCCTTCCTCGCAAATAATGATCGGTTTGCCATCTCGGGCAGTAACTTGCCGCAGTGCATTCATGCATTTCTGTAATAAATCAAATTATAATAAAAATATGATATATTTTATATACATATATTCTATTTTATATACAATATATTTATATTTATATACAGTCCTATTTTAATTGTATGCCCCCAATAACATCGTAGAAAGTGATTTAATGTCAAAAATCTTGTAGATCATTCCATTTGAAAAACTAAAATTAAGGTCACCTTGATCAAGGTAATCCACGATAATAAGATCAAGATCATCATCGTATGTCCCAAAATCCAACAACTTTTGTCTGAAACTTTTTTTTATCCGACCACTTTCTGCGATGTTATTGGGGGTGCACAATTAAAATGGGACACTCTGTATATTCTATAAGTTCTCGCATATAATAATAAAAATTAGATTAATGGATATTTTAGTATTTAAGTATTTTAGTATTTTAGTATTTTTTTATATAATAGATGTTTAGATAATAAAGATAAAAAAAAGAAATGCATAAAAACTTTTCCCCGTACGGTGTAATTCTCATTTTTATACTTTGAATTTTAAATAATAGATTAACGAATTTTGTAAATTTTTTTTTACGAAATAAAGTATTATAAAATTCATTATAAAAAAGCTAAAATCTAAAAAAATCGAAAATAGCTAAGATAAATATATTTTTATGGCATAAATGATTATTAAATATTAACTTACTTTGTATACCGGGTCTCTCATCACAATCATAATCACTGGCATAGAATCGTCAACAAGAGCTAATGGACCATGTTTTAATTCACCTGCCATAATTCCTTCGCTGTGCATATATGTCAATTCTTTTACTTTCTACAAATATAAACAAATTATAGTAACACATGAATTATGCAAAAAGAAACATGTATTTATCGTGAACTTACAAGTGCACCTTCCATACATGTAGCAAAATTATATCCACGACCCATGATCAACAGAGACTTATGTTGAAATAAAGACTTAGCCAATTCTTTTACTTTATCATCAAGCTTTAATACTTCACGAATGAGATTATCAAGATTTTTCAGACCTTCAATAATCTGAAAAATATGTGTACGATTAAGTTACAATTTCTAATTTATCAACATGTAAATATTAAACACAAATGGGAATAATATATGGCCTAATATGTGAAGGATCCGTGATTCGAATCCAGTTCGAATCAATAACACATCCCATATGCCTGCTTGGAAAAATTGTAGAAAGAAGGAATAGATTCGGAGAAAGAGGAAAAAAAACAGAATTAATTGAAGGAAAAAGAGAAAAATAGAGTAAGGGTATGATATATATTGTAAAAGTTCGGGAACGGTTCTATCAAAAGCGCCTTGCAAACTCTTAGGGAATAATACGACAATAAATCAATTATAATACTGTTCAACAAAAAAAACATCGACACGAAACTAGTCGTTTCTTATAGCTCTTTAGACACTGAACACGAATCTGTCTTCAAAATTGCTCCATCACGTCATAATTTTAAGAGACATGCAATTAAAATTGCAAAAAGGCTATATTTTCACGAACTTTGTTATATTATAGCTACAATATGCGACGTGCTTAAAAAATTTTTCTTGCAACCAAAATAAAGTATATTGTTAGAACTTTCAACCTTCAATAGAAATTTTCAGTTATGATTCATAAGATATTCTTTTGCAACTTTAATTGCATGTCTCTTAAAATTGTGATGTGATGGAGCAATTTTGAAGACAGATTCGTGTTCAGGATCCAAAAACTATAAAAAATAACCAGTCTCGTTTCGGTGTTCGAAAAAAGTCATTTTTTGTTGAACAGTATAATTAATAATATTAAACACAAATAAATATACCTGTAAACGTCTCGCACGAAGAGAGATTCTGTCCTCGCTCATTACTAGTGCAAACATCACGAGAGAAATGAATTGCGAAGTGTAAGCCTTGGTACTTGCCACACCAATCTCGGGACCGGCATTGATGTGCACGCCGCAATGGGACTTGCGACAAATACTACTACCAACCGTATTAGTTATACCCACAATAAGAGCTCCACGACTTTTACAATAATCTAGCGCCATTAAAGTATCAGCTGTTTCGCCTATCGTTAATAGAAAGAATAGGGTAACTTATTGTTCATTATAATCGCATAATTCTTATCATCTATATTAGACCCATTAAACAAAGGTATACGAAGCATAGCATCAGCTGCAGGATGACAAACTAAATCAAAAAGTCCTGAGCCATTTTTTAATCTGAACTTTATTTTTGACGCTATAAATTGTTAAAGTTTATCCAATTAGGCCTTAATACACGTCTACTGAGGTGGCGCCTACGCTGTTTTTCGTTGTAACCACGCGCTGATTGGCAAACTTTAACAATTTATAGCATCAAAAATAAAGCTCAGATTAAAAAATGGCTCAGGACTTTTCGATTTAGTTTGTCGATTTAGTTGTCTTACACCAAATGGTGTGCTTTGTATATCTTTGTTTAGTTACCCTGTATAGTTGACCCGATTTGTAAAGTCTTACCTGATTGAGAGATAAAGAAACAAACGTCATCTCTAAAGACTGGCGTGTTGCGATCTAAGAAATCGGACGCAAGTTCAACCATCACCGGCAATTCTGTCAGTTCTTCGAGAAGCTGTCGCGTAGCTATAGCAGAATGGTAACTCGTACCGCATCCAATCAACATGAGGCGTCTGCATCTTTTGATCTCGGGAATGTAATCCTGAAAAGGTTTCGGCACTAGTATCTTTTCTTAAAAGCTTAAAATGTGTAGAAATAATTTTTTGACAACTAGTTACTTTAATTCCACCCAAAGTGACAGAGTTATCTTGAAAATTCAAACGTCCTCTCATGGTGTTCACCACCGATTCCGACTGTTCAAAAATTTCTTTCTGCATGAAATAGTCATAGTTGCCCTTCATGATTTGCTGAATCTCCATCTTCAACGTTGTGATCTCACGTGCATGAGGATCGTCCATGCAACGACGAAGGCGATGAATGCTCAAGGTACCTTCCTTGACGGCCGCCACATCATCGTCCTATCGACAAAAAGTATACTTAAGATTCTGCGTAACCTCTTGAGTGTAAAAACTGACATATTGTATAACATCAAAATTCGCACTTCCAGAAATATCACACGATTTGTGTGCTCGATTATGGCACTCGCATCAGAAGCAAAGAAATATTCAACTTCCTTATCCTCGAGGGGTTGAAATTCAGACGTGCTGTCGCTACGCGGTATAACCGGAAGTTCCGTATCTCTACCATGTGGTCGATGATCTGCACAGAAGTAAAGGTTTTAACAAAATGTTCTATCTTGCAAAGCAAAATACATATATAAAAATCTTGTTTAAAAAAAATGAAAGTCTTTCAATTTTTAAACAGAATTTTAAAACAAAATACAATATTCTACTGCAAAAGTTTTTATTTTATTCGATAAAAACTTCCCGAAGTAATAAAAGTATGACAAATACATTATATTAATAAGAAAATCAGTTGTAATACAATATTATAAAAATATTATAATATTTATATGTATACACAGTGTTTCATAAATAAGTAGTCAAACTTAGGAACATACTGTATTTATTATAATGATAAAAAAATATCATATTATATAAATGGGATATTTAAAATATGGACTTTGACAAATTATACGTACATCAAATAATTAATTTGAAATTAGTAAAAATGAGCAAAAATTTTGTTTCTATTTTTTTAATAAACAACAAGCGACGGCTAAAATTGTTTAATGCTTACTTAGTGTGGTGACCTAGACATATATTGTTAAGGTCAAGACAATTCTAGCTGGGTGTTCTATTCTATGTATACATTTGCCAATCTTTTTTCATTATTACGATAAATAAATATAATATATGCTTTAAAGTTTGTCTACTTATTTCTGAAACATCCTATATTTTACAAAATTCATATATTGTATATCAATAGGAGTAGCAAAAAGAAAATGCCTCTTTATTTTACGATTGTGTTAGTGATAACAAAGATTCAAAGTTGATAACTAAAATATTCAAGATTAAAATAATTAATTATTAATTCTAATATTTCTATTTTTTATTACACCAGATAAGTTAAATAAAATTAAATCGCTATACTTTTCCTTCTATCTTCTAAGCCCAACACCAGATTGGCATAAAATGTAATATCGTACAATGTAATAAGGTCAATAGAGATAATATAGCGTTTATTATAAAATTTAGGTATTTATATTTTACAATATCCCTCTAGAAATATAATTACCGATACTAAAATGTTAATACTAGGAATATTAACGATATTCAAATGTTAATCTTACAGCTCGCTGCAAGATAATGATAAAATACCACCGTGATGATGAAATTAATATAAATAATGTCGATGCCATAAAAAATATATGTATAATAGCAATGATCGAGATCACACGATCAATAAAACTATTAATGGAATACATATTTTCTTATTAATTAAAGTAGTACTCATTATAGTACTATTATACATACTTTCCTAATAATAGATGAAGAAAGAATAAATTTCGATGGATATTATATGATTCCTTTGACGATATGTTTTCGATATAAATAGGGAAAAAGGAATAATTTGTAAATTACATACGGCAGAATTATTATACACATAAAAAGATGATTATGATACACGTACTGCAAGCATAACGTGATTGCCCATCATCCATTCTTATCTTTATGCGTGAAGATCTGCAAGACATCCAAGCTTTTATCCAAGTTAAAAAAAGAGTGATTATATTTATTTATAATAGGTAAATCATAAAATCATTTTCATTATTTAGTGTGCAGAATACAAAGCAAGGAAGCTTAAACTTAACATGAAGTATTACCTTGAGACGGTGCTTCACCTTCTGCACAGAATGGGACGCGGGAGGAGAAAAACGAGAAAGAAAACAAAAACGATTAGCGCACAATTAATGCCGCAATAATGATAAATAGCATAACAAAATTAATGTAATGACAAATATAAATTCAATATAATGAATAAATACTGTGTGGCATAAAGAATAATGAGCATTAAGCACGCGCTGATGGATATTAAAATAAAACAACTAAAAGTTTGAAAAAAGATTATTCTTCTTAGATATCTTCTTAATTTTTTAAACAATAATTTTCTTATTTTCCAAAATATTTATCGATTTTTGATGTAAACCTTTTAACAAACTTTAAAATTATGTCATCACAAACACACACACACACACACATATGCATATACATACATATACATAATTTGGAAAGAAAGCGTTTTGAAATCCATGTTATATTTTCTCACTTTTATGAGTAGGATATATTCTTAACTCAGTAAGAAATCATTAGTTAAAAAGACGTCGAATCAACGTCTTTTACATTAAATTTGGTGTAAAAAATGTTGATTCGACGTCTTTTTAACTAGTGATTTCTCGCTGGGAAATAGTTGACTATACCGACTATTTTTAAATAGTTTAAATCATTTATAATTTTACTTCACCATTTTATAAGTCTGCGTAAATGTTTTCTCTAACATAAAGCAAAATTTTATGTGATGCGCTACTCAGTCATTTAAAAAATCACAATAAAACACTCTGCATTTATGTAAACTAATTGTTGATTGTTAAGCAAAGCCTAGTTACATTGGACTAATGCTACAAACGCGAAATAATTTAGAAAAGTTAACGTTAAATAATGCTATTTATTAAACATCGCTATGTGACACGATAAACATCACTATAATTGAAGGTTGAAAAGGATTTAATTTCTTTGTCCTCTTTGCGATCGAGCATTATTATTATTGAGCCAAATCACTTGAGCAATTTTCTTGACCAGTAAATGATCTCTTTTGATCTAATTTGACAAGTTATTACTAATAGCGTTGAACTGTGATTGTTTTCATCAATGGTGAATGTTTATTATAATCACTTGAAAACATATTTTCATAGATTATGATAAATCATTATTTATAAAAAAAAATTATAAAAGTTTTGTGACTAAGCAAAATTTTATATATATAATCATGATTCACTTGGCGCGAACACAAAAGTATGCTAATTAGTAGCAGGCGAGTGAATATTATATTGTGTTAAAATGAGAAAACAAAAGGATATAGAAGATGCATTCCTTTTAATTTTATTAGATCTTGCGCGATAGAGTAATTCGATTGTTCAACAATAGACAAATTAAGCGATATTTACACACACACACATCCATATTAATTATATAAATAATATAAATACGTCGACGAATAGCATTTCGATTTACATACCACATAGAGATATTGTGTGCTCTTTTCTTTCATTCTCTCGTTATAGCGAGAGATCCAATGGCGAGGATAATAATCAAGATAAATTTAATATAATAGTGTATATACCTTTTCTTGTGTATTCAAGGTCATCTGATGGCGTAAAAGTAGTAGAACATAACCGCAAGGTGTTCATGCAAAAGAAATACTTCTATAGTAATTCATATTAAATTCACACGGAAAGAATGCAACAGTATACATATTTACTAAATTCTAAGAAACAGGCAAGTGTGTAAGTATTCAGATTAATAATCATGCATCTATTCCAACTTCGTTACAATTACAGTACAAAAACAAAATAAAAGAAATACATGAAACAAAATTGCAAGCAAGAAAGTATAGTGACAATATCTAATTTTTTATCTATTATTATATATTTAATATTCTTCCATAATATAAAAATAGCTCAAAAGAGAGAGAGAGAGAAACACGCTTTTTAATCTTGAACGAATATTTTTACTTGAATAGACACATGATCGAAGACTCCAATCACAAATACAGGGTGTCCCATAGGAAAATGCTGAAACTAACCATAGCTGTCGTTTTTTAATGCATGGAGTTATTGAGAAAACAAAAATTGTGTTGGAAAGAGGAAAATCTGCAGTTTTTAATGGATATAAATAAAGTGTATACCATAGTTTATTTTATTGATAAAAAGTAATGAAAAAAGTGTTAATAATCACATAAACTAATGATAAATATTTTCAACAGTGCCAGATTTAATAGCAGCTATTAAAAGGATCGTCAATAACATTAAAAATGACATGTTAGAAAAAGTTTTTACGAGTTTTCGTAAAAGAATAGAATTTTGTACAAATTCAAATAATGCGCACTTCGAAAATACCATTAGTTTATATATGTGATTATTAGCACGTTTTTCATTACTTTTTATTAATAAAATAAACTGGTATATACAAACATTTTTCTTCTTTCAACATAATTTTTGTTTTCTCAATAACTGCATGCATTAAAAATAAATGAGCTGATTATAGTTTCAACATTTTCTTATCGAACACCCTGTATATGTAGCGGATACTTGTTTGGTAACAATATTAGATAACATTTTGACAATATCTCAATAATCGCATTCAATACTATAATATTTCCAATTTGTTGCAGTATATATAATCAAAATGCAAGATGATATAACAACAATAAAGCCGGATATTATTTAGTTGTATGAGCGCTAATTTCATTCCATTTATCAAATGTATAGTTTGGATTAATGGGAAAAGCACACATGCTTAGTTAGTTACATGAACCACTTTTCTCTCACAGGTAGAGCCCGGTGAATATGTATCGATACTGTAGATAAATTAAATAAGATAAGAGAGATTCTAGAAGCATTACCGGTTTTGCATATCTTCTCCAATTATTTATCCAGGATAATGGATATGTATTTAATGTTCCTAGCTCTTCTAAAGATGTTAAAATGTTTGAACCTTTTTTATACTAGTAAGTAGTGGCCGATGTGTTGAGGCATCGACAGTTATAATTTCGATATTTGACATCGGCCAAGAATAATAATTCTTCATGACGCTCGCCATACCATAATAAAAAGTCGAAATTGGATCCGCGATGATTGAAACTTACCTTTTCCATATAAAATAGGCACATGATCGGTAGCTAATCTTGTTTTTGTCTTGATACCAACGAGAAGCGGCGATCCACGCCTCGTAGCCACGCATTCATCTGGGAAGTACTTGCTTTTGAAGCAAAGAGCAAAAGCTCCTTCCTAAAAAAAATTTTTTATTATCTCTCTTTCTCTCTCTCTCTCTCTCTCTCTCTCTCTCTTTCTTCTCTTAAATCTATTTTAATAAAAATTTTATTATTATTTCTAATTAAACAATATAAGGAAAAAAAGCAATGAGAGTTAAACGCGGTTATTGAGGCGCAACTTATTTACTTTAATAATCTATACAATTACATATATTACTTTAATAATCTATACAATTACATATGTTAATTAAAAATTATAAAGAATAACGAAAAATAATTAGCGGACGTTTCGTATCCTTTTTGGGGTCTTCAGCGCATACATACTAACAAAATAAATATAAATTAAACAATCAACGACATAAACATGCAGATTTTTTATAATAAAATTCGTGATGTATAATTATATGGTCTGTCATTTTTTAAAAAAAACCTTCGAAGTTAGGTCCTCACCACTAGAATATTGGAATTATTCGTTCATAATATTTTTATATTCCCCAGTCGGCCAAGAAATATAATCGTCGGATTGTAAAATAAAGTGAGTGTTTATTATTATTTTTAATTAAATATTTAATAAAAATTTATTATTATTATTTTTAATTAAAATATTTATTAAAAAATAAACACTATAAACAACGGCTAATACGAGCTGCGAAAGTTAGGATGGTAAAAATGAATAGTCTTTTTGTCATTTATATACAATTTAATACGAGACGTTTCTGCACATATGTTACTTGTGCTTCTTCAGCCACTCAATAATCACTCCTTCTTACATCAAATTATCATTATACAGTATTTGTGATCGTTACAACGATCAGATATTTTAATAATTTATTTAACTGAGAAACATCACTCTCAAAATAGTTATATTAATATTCAGAGAATTGAAAAGTTCTCTGAATATAAGTGGTTCACATGTTAACCGAACCAAAAACGCTTGATAACTGACCTTTAAAATATTTATTATTTATTACTCATTATTCATTTTTTTATTATTATTATTTATTATTTATTTATTTTTATTATTTATTAATAATAGAATATTTGTTATAATTTAATTTACTTTCTTTTCTTTAAAAAAATTTCTTTCTTTCATTTTTCTCTCATAATTATATAGAAAAAGGGAACATTGGTTTAATATATTCTAGACCATACAAGTCTTATACATACAAGTCTGAAAACTACTTGAATTTTTGATGGTGGAAGTAGATGCTCTTAATTAAAGCAAGCTAGAGTTTATCAGCAAGATCATTTGAAAAAATTCAAAAAATTGTTCTTTATACAGGGTGTCCCATAATTCGCGAACCACCGCGAATGGGCAGATAGAGCGTGTTAAACTGAATAGAAAAGTCCTATATCATTTTGTGCGATATTCGCAATAATTATTGAGTTATTAACTAAAATATCTAAACGAATGAGCGCGTAGAAAGCGATAGGCCGGACTCGGTGTGCATGTACCGCTTAGTATCAAAAGTATCATCTTACTTTTCGGCGCCACTACATTGGTCGCCGCTCGCTGCATGACGCCACCTCTCGATCAAATAATGCTTTCTACCTGCTTATTCGTTTAGATATTTTAATAAATAACTCAATAATTATTGCGAATATCGCAAAATGATACAGGACTTTTCTATTCAGTTTGACACGCTCTATCTGCCCATTCGCGGTGGTTCGCGAATTATGGGACACCCTGTATATACAGATAAAGAAAATAAGAAAAAAATAAAAAATTTTTAATAGCACGTCACATATTGTAGCTATAATATAACAAAGTTCGTGAAAATATAGCCCTTTTTGCAACTTTAATTGTATGTCTATTAAAATTGTGACATAATGGAGCAATTTTGAAGACAGATTCATGTTCAACGTCCAAAAAACTATAAGAAACGACTAATTTTGTGCCGATGTTTTTTTTAACAGTGTAATTCTTACCAATTGCTGAACAACCTGCTCGACGAGTTCACGAAACGAGTACCTGGGATGTTGCACCCAAAAATGATGAATCAATTTGGCAATAATTTCGGTATCAGTATCGCTCTCGAATACGTATCCTCTCTGTGTAAGCAGAGTTTTGACTTCCTTATAATTTGTCACAATACCTGTATTCAAAATAATTATATGTACAGAATCGAAATATTTTAGGACGATGATTTTAAGTATTAACTCATTAAAGAATTGTTACATTCTAAGTAAAAGTACAAGACTACACTGCAAATAACTTACGAAAAATGTGAACAAATACAACATATTAAACGCAGTATTATGACTACTATGTATTGAACAGACAGAACAGATATTCCATCAAATATATTTCTTCTTAAAAGTATATGTATATGTCAGAAAATTACAATTTATTCATTAAATTTATTTTGTTTATAATTTTTTTAATAAATTATGGGAAAACAATTAAAATCTTTCAAAAATTTAAGTCGCGTCCTTGATAATATACAATATATCAAGATTATTGAAATCTATAAGATCAGTCCTAATATACATAATTATAAAAAAATAATTATTTTTTATATGTGCATATCGCAAGCTTTTCATCTGTTTTACGCTTTTTTTGTTCAAAACAAAATTCTATATTACAATAATTACCATTGTGAACAACAACAAAGCCATGCTCACTGTCGGAGCGTTGAGGATGAGCATTCACTTCCGATGGTACACCGTGGGTCGCCCATCGCGTGTGAGCAATACCCAGATGGGACTGAATTTGCGACTCGAAATCAAGATTGGTGTCTGCAAAAATAAACATTAAAGATTTTACATTGTGGAAAATGCATGGAATTTGAGGTCAGAACATATATCAATGGTGTATTCAGCGGATATTTAACAGTTGGCCAACATTACTAGATTAGATTTTTTGATGTTATTTAACACTACTTGGCTGGGTCTGAAAGTAGAAATCAGTCACGTTTGATTGCTACTTAGCGATTAAGTCCGCTGAGGCCATTGGGAGAAGAATTGTCTATAATTGGGTTTGTTCTCTATTACTGCACTGATAAATTAGTGCAGTAAATTAAAATGAGACAAATATATTTTGTTTTATTTTAACTTACTGCACCAATGCGCACTAGTTCACCAGTGCATCAGTGCACTAGTTCGCCAATGCATCAGTATGTACTAGTCCACCAGCGCACCAGTGTGCACTAATTCACTAGTGTCCACTAGTTCACTAATGCATCAGTGTGCACTAGTTCACCAGTACAGCACTAAAAAACAAATCCTATATTTTCCGTAGAACGAACCAATATCCAAAATCAGTGAAGAGAAAAAGATAGTAATCGTTCGTAACACGCATAATATCGTTATTGCCATAACCGTTACCAATAATGGCACTGAAAAACCAACGTCAAATTCAAGTAAAGCATATAATTCCTCTTCCAACCATAGAAAAACCATAGTGACGATATCAGCGCATGTTCATTGTAGATAATTGTTAGTCACTACCTTTCTCTCTCGCATAGATCTTAAACATAAAGTGTTAAATTCTTCTTCAATTAAGGGATGATCCCGTTAGTGCACACCCCACAATAGCACACATCCACATATATCGAACAATACCTAGGATAATCAGTATGATTGACCAATCAGAGAATCCTAATGTTCAATTGGCTATAACCATAGACTATAACAATATGGGTTATCAGCTTAGAACATATATATCTGGAAAGGGAATTGCTATTGTTCTCCATGGTAAAAATCTGTGTCCAAGTTGGGTGCGAGAGAAAAAGATAGCTTTTAACCTATGCTCGCAATGCGCAAACGTAGATGACGTCACGGTGACGTCACGCTTACCGCGCCGTTTGAAACTGGAAATGTAATTGGTGCTTTCGCTAATTCGCGTTTGCGCATTGCGAACGGAGGTAACAATCCTTCTCTTTCCTTAAAAACGTGGTTCTCTCTCGCACCCAACTTGGACACAGTTTTGCGCTCCTATTCCCCCTTCCATATCTATATGTTCTAAGGTTATCAGATTCCATCTTCCATCGATATATGTTTTAAAAGTATTCTGCACTAATCTTATGTGAAATGGATTTCGGTTAAATCTGCTGATTTTTCATGTTATTGCTTATGACTTGCTGAACAAAAGATGTAATTGCCTCGAAATTAAATAATGAACAGTTACTGAACTGCATTCAGTCAAACAACACGAAAACCTCAAGTTTTTCATGTTTGATAACTGACTGTAAATCAGTAACTGTGTTTTTTATTTAACTTTGAACTATTACATTTCTTGTTCAACAGGTTCATAAGCTTCAATATGTAAAAGAATTAACTGATTTAACCATCCATTTCAGATATAAGAATATCACAGATTTCGTATATACAATAACGGCTAAAGCGATCGATAAAAAATCCATGAAATAATCTCAAACTCTGAAAATCTCCAGCCAGCACTTACGACAAAATATCTCCTCTTCGAGAGCCTTAACCTTTCCCTGTTTCTTGATAATTGACATGTCCTTGCCATCCGCGCTATCAAGGGCGACGCCTGCAAAAGAACATTCCGTGAAAAAAAAACTTCTATGAGTCTGTTGTATCGTATTATTTTATTTATTTATTCGTTAGCTTGTGCGAAAACGAAAAAAACTTTTTCCTTTCTCTTACTTAGAAACTGGTTTTCAAATAAAAACGAGGACTAGATAAAAAGAGCAGAATAGTCGAATAATACGATCGGAATTTAATATTATTTTCTTTTTACTGCAATAAATTTAATGGCTTACACGTCATTCAAGATTATTTTGAAGTATCTTTTTATATATTCTTGATTCTTGAAAGTTAAACACCACAAAATTGTTACTTATTTCATAATATGCATATAAAATAAAAAATCATAAAAATTAATTATTATCATTTTTTACTTAATATTATTTTTCCCGCAATTAATAATATAATAATAATAATAATATAATAATATAATTATAATCAAATAATTGATAATTCTCAAATATGTTTTAAACTTTACAATTTATATAATATTTTTCTACAATATTAAATTTTCTAATGTAAGAAAGACATATTGTATCACATAAAATCTTTTTATTATTCTTCATGTTTTCCCTCACTTTTCGCAAACGTATATAATTTTATATGAGAAGAAATATTAACTTAAAACGCGCGCGTTTAAAATTATCATCTTACCTGCAGAATCATATCCACGATATTCTAATCTTTTCAGGCCACCTACGAGTAACTTCAAGATTTCTTTCCTGCTCTTCGGTGTCAAATAGTTCAGATATGCAAAAATTCCTGAAAATCCAAAAATAGAAATTGTAATTATTACTCAAATTATTGACATGATAAAAATATAATTATAATGAATATTTAATTATTATTGAGATATTATTGATAACGAGACATTAAAGTCCTTCTTCCGCTATAAATCATTTACATACATTAACAACGCTATAAATCATTTACAATTATATAATAATTTTCACATATATTATTTTATTTAGATTATTCGTTGTAATATATAATGTTATTTATTTTCCTATCATTATACGATTGATATGGCCTTTTTCTGATTATGTGTAAAAACAATTCAATTTTTGTAATCTTTAAAAATACTCTTGTATAATATTGTATTATAAAATACTTGTATTTGTGGCGTCTACAACTCGTTAATTACATGCAAATCATCCGAAAGAATAATACTATAACATTGAAAACATTCGTACCATTAAAACAGATTATCTGTTAATTTTATTAAACTTTGCATTGCCTTTCGTTTTTGAAGGTTGTATTCGCAACAGAATGCAGAAATGCGAGGAATTCAATCTTGTGAAGCGCAAAAATTCGTCAAAAAAGAGAAACTATGATGAAATTTCTAATTCTATCTTTATCAATATGCTAATTCATAAAACAAAATAATAGATGTAGAAATACAAGCTGTCAAGAATACAGAAGGAAAGTGCAGGAAAAATCCCAAATGCCATCTTACATTTAAGAAATTTAATTTTAAATTATCCATATAAAAATATCTAACTAGTCAAATAACTTAAATTTATCTTTACTATTATATAATTTACATGTATATAATTATATAATAATAATTATATAAATAATATTATTTATATATATAAATATCTCTTATTATTGTCAATATAATATAATTCGTAAATAACTATTGTAGGTACACAATCATTGTTTTTATAAAAGAATATAAAAAAAAATTATTTTTAAACGAGCTGTGCGCTCTTTCTGCTATGTAGTTTATAAAATAAAAAATATAATACACATTATAATTAATTAGAGAATAAAAATAAGAATCAGTCAATACTTTTTCCATTATCCATTATTTTGTTTTTATGTTGTACAATATTTTAGATATATTTTTTGCAACTCATATAGCAAAAAAAATAATATTAAAATAAACAAAATTGTACATTTCGTAAGTTAAAAGAAAATTTTTATATCTCAAATACTATCAGTTATACTGTAATAAAGTTTACTGAGTAGTTAATATATAATTTTATATATATAATTAATATATATAATTAATTTATATATATAATTAATATATAATTTTTATTAATGTGTTTAATTAATTAAAATTGATTTTAAGAACTAATAAAAATTATACATATTTGTGTATAATAATTACAAGTTAGAGCTTTTGAAAAATATGGTAAAGAAATATAATATACTATAATATTTCTCATATTTGTGATAAATAAAAAATTTCCATAATACAGCATTTTTTTATGGCATTTCAAAAATTTTCATTAAAAAACTAGTTATAAAGAAAAATTTTAGTAAATCAGAAGAGTGAAAATCGGCGATTAGTACTAAAAATAATTGAATACTTGCACTCTTTATACGCTGCTATATGCTACTGAGATTATCGTTTACAAAAACTTAATTTTTAAGTGCGCCAAAGCTATATAGATATAGTTGTCGAGTTGGCTACATTTGGCTGAGCGCACTTTCTCTCGAATCTCACTCTCTTCTTTCCAATCGTGCAAACTACATGTCTCTTTTGTACGAGGGAAAAATTCAATAAGACATTTAAATCTTACATTTAATAAGTTTATATAATTGATTTAAACATTGAGGAAGACAGCGTACAGTCGAAACGTTTAACTTTATAATATCAACTTTGTTTATAATGTTTGGATGTAATTAAATAATTTGTTTTTAAAGTTTTTAATTTTTTTATGTGAACATTCTATTAATTTATGCTCGATAGTCGGCCTTATCACACATTAAGATTATTATTGTAAATAATATACAAGCGTCATCAAATTTATAATTTAAATCTTTATATTAAATCTTTATATTAAATTGAAATAAATTGTGACTTCATATATTTAATAAAACTGTAGCAATTAAAATAATATTTTAATAATTTAATAATATGTTTGAAAATAACGCAATTTTTAATCAAATTCTGCAAATTTCAAAACAAAATAATATTTCGGAAGTTTAAATATTCTCTAATTTTTCTCAAAATTCATAACATTTAATTATATTTTATTGTAAAAAATCTGAAATCTTGAAATAGATTCTTCAATAATGCTTCAATAATTTTCATTTGTAATGAATTTATTGTAATTTCAACAAAATATTCATCAGGACAGTATAGTTTTTGTATGCCATAAATTCTTATATTACTTAAAGACTTAAACTTTAAAAGAACAATCTATTTCGTACGTAAAATTTTTCCCTCTAAAGAAACAATTTATTTTGTAAACACATTGCATAAAAATTTTATAATTTTTTGAGTAATAATTTATTCTGCAATTTATGCATTATCGATTTTTTTATGTATATTAATTATTTTACAAATAAGAGTATATATACTATAAGATAACAATTTAATAAATTTAAATTCATTATTTATAGATTTTTGCAATAAAAATATTTTATGATAATATAATTTTTCTGGCTTGAAATTAATCTATAGTTTTTTTCATAAACAAATCCTGCACACAGTTTTCCTGCTATTTTAAAAGAAATAATTATCTTACAATAATATCTTGTTTTTAAAGTTGTTTTTAAGAAAAAGTATGTAATTTACAACACTAGTAGTTATATATTTTTTCTTAAATATAATTATGCGTTTTTTTTACACCAATTAATTCCTCTCATTATTTTGTGCCTAAAAAAGTATTGAGATAAGATCATCGAAAAATATACAATTGACGAGATATTTTATAGTTTATGTAAAATGTAAAATTATGTCAAATTAAAGTATAAAATATCTCGTAAATTCACTTTTTGATTATTTGTATAAAATCTTACTTTTTAGTTATCCTTATAAAGTTTTATATTGCAATCAATTTAAAAAAATAGGATAATTTACATTAAAAAAAACAAGAATTTTTTTAAATGACCTTTAAATAACTTTGAAAAACGCTACCCAAAGATAATTCTAGATCATGATATTGTGTCCATTTCCCTACAAACTTTTATAAGAAATATTTTTCTCGAAAATATTTGATTTTAAAATAATCGACTGAAATAGATAGTATCATGTCATAGATAATACATATGTTTGCAGTGTCGTTTAAAATAATCCATCTGACAGGTTTTTTGATGATGCAAAGATGACATTAATCATGAATTATTACAGAGACTTTACAGTTATTTAATGATACTTTCCGAGACAAAAAACATCCTTATCTGAATCTACAATACGTGAAGCGTTTCAGAAAAATAAACACGTTAAGAGCTAATTAAAATTTGGTAGACTTTCAACGAATTCTGAAAAATCTTCGAACATACTACAATTTTTTGTAAGTCTCCATTTATTTATCCATAAGATTGCATAAAAAACACGTGCCATTGATTATATGTCAAAAGTCAGTAAAATCTTGAAGAAAAATTAATTTTATCTTAAAATCTACATACCATATGTAAGTACAAAAGCACCTGTCTAATGATTTTATTCACGATGAATTTTATTCACAATGTAGTTTTCCGAAATTATAATAAAGAAAATAAACATAAATACTCAATTTTTGTCAAATCTTATTTTTTCGATCAGGCAACCTTTTAATTTAATTAGAATCGTCATAATTGTATGTTTTTTTTAAACTTTAAAGTACTCTTCAACCAATTAAATTTTCCTTTAACATTTTTTTATATTTCTTATAACTTTGACGATATTCGATCTTAAAAGAAATTATCGTTTTTTTAAAGAGGTGTTTCACCCCTTAAACCTCAAAATTTATATATATAAAAAAATACGTATCTTTCAGATTTTTGTATTGAACAACATATAATATTTGAAAAATAATCAAATCAGTTTCAGATACTTGTAAAATGTATCTCGTAAGTGTAAGCTTTTTTCAAACTTCTGTCAATTAATATTATATGCGCATGCGCATAAATCACACTTTTTTATTTACAAAACAATATTCAAAGTTCGATTTATTTTTGACTCTATCTCAAAAATATGAATATAGTAAAAATATAAAGTGTTCATTGCAAATTACGTACTTTAACTATATATTTTCTTTACACTAATAACACTAATTGATTCGTATCATTATTTTGTGTACAAAAGTATTGATCATCGAAAAATAAATACATCACCAGATATTTCATAATTGATATAAAATTATATCAAAATAAAGTATAAACTAGTCCTTTTTGTAAAAAAAGGCATGCAAAGTCGATTCTCGCATGTATGCCGGTTTTCCGCGTTGCTGATTGGTTGTCTCGATTCGCATTGTGTGTCATATTCATATCAAACAGCTGTCATTGCGAAGGTTAATAGTTTGACAGTTGTTCTAAATAATATTAAATCAAACATATAAAATCAATCGGCGCGCGCAAAGTGCGCGCTTATGTTTTCTAGTTCAAAACATATTGTATTCAATTTTTGGTCATCCTATTTTTATAACTTTTTATTAAAAAAATATCAAACATTGCAAAGAATCGATTTATATAAAAAATAGAATTCCAAAAATTAAATTAAGAAAATTAGGTTGATTTTCGCCTTGAAAATTGACTTTAGTTATAATTCAAGATTATTAATCTTTTTTCCCTACTTTATACCAATAGTTTATACAATTTTTCCAAAAAAATTTAATTTTTGTTATATGCAAAAATCTTAAAAAATCTTAAAAAATTAAATCTTAAAATAGAAAATTTGAATAATGTACAATATACATATGTGGTCTTATTTACGGTTAACGCTATTTATCTATATTGAAGAACAATACTTTAAATCTTCTATAAAATAAAAGCAATACAAAACTACGTGTACTAATCATAAGTTCCATCCCTGGCGGGCCAAG